CAGAACTCTCTAGTAGATGCAGGTCTGTCCAGGGTGGCCCCCCTGGGTCCACACCACACCCTCTCAAATGTACAAGAGGAGCCACCTCAATCTTGAATGTGTAAAAGTAACTCTGAGGAATGAGTTTATTCTAAGGTCATTCTGCAGGCTCTCATTAAAATTAAATAAAGCAGTATATTCAGAATCTCTCAAGAAGGGATTGTGTGTCTGAGAAAGCTACCAGATAGGAGTGGATCCATGTCCCAAGAGTGTCACCACTGTGGCTGTGGGTTTCCACACCTTTCAGAGGAACCTAGACTGAATAACAAGTGTTGGTGAAAGGATGGGGAGGATACTAGAACCCTCCTACATGGCTGGTGGGAGTATAAGATGGCACAGTTTCTTGGGAAACAGTTGGTGTTTCATCAAAAGATGGAACATAGTTACCATAAAGCCCAGAAATTTCCCTCCTGTGTATATGCCCAAGAGAAATAAAATTATACACAAAAATTTGTTCATGAATGTTCATAGCAATATTGTTCATGTTAGCCAAAAAATGGAAACAACCCAAGTGCCGGTAAATTTATGATTGTATAAATAGAATGCAACATATTGTTAGGCAATTTAAAGGAATCAAGTTTGAATACATGGTACATGCTAAAACATGGATGTACCCTGAAAACACTACACTAAGAAGCCAGTCACGAAAGATGGCGTAGTGAATGATGCATTCACATGAAATGTCCAGAATAGACAAGTCCATGGAGACAGAAAATAAATTAATTTCTGCCTAAGGCTAAAGGATTGAAGGGAAATGAAAGTGACTGCAAATGTACCCAGGGTTTCTTGTTGAGTAACTAAAATGTTCCAAAACTGATTGAGGTCCTGTTGTATAACTCTGTGAACATACGAATTTAAGATACATATTCATTATATACCTTAGATCAGCGGTTCTCAACCTGTGAGTTGCAACCCACAGGAACTGTATTAAAGGGCCGTGGCATTAGGAAGGTTGAGAATCACTGCCTTAGATGGTGGATTGTGTGATATGGAATTACATCTCAATAAAGCTAAAGAAGGAAGAGGAAGAGGAGGAGAAGAAGGAGAAAGAGAAAGAAGGAAAAGAATCATCCAGGCTTCTTAAGGCTCTTTGCCAAAGTCTCTCCAAAATATCTCAAGTCTGTTATCAACTAGGAGATGATAGAGCTCAGTGGTTTATCGTGTGGCCTCCAGAATCAAAATTAGTGAGTTAAATAGGCTCCTTAATAAGTAACTCCTAGAATTTGGGTAGCATGTTCTGAAGTATCAACTATGTAATGATTCTGGAGGCTGCAAGTCCTCTGATCACCTGGAGGACTTGCTAAAACACATATTGCTGGGCCCCACCCAGAGTGTCTGATTGGGTGGGTCTGAATGGGGCCAGAGGATTTGCATTTCTACAAGTCCCCAGGTGATGCTGATACTTCTGGTCCCGGAACTACACTCTGAAAACCACTGTTTCTAGGCTCAGTTCTTTCAAGTCCCAAGGGCCTATTAAGCACATTTTGCAAATAACGGCATGAACTCACAGTACAAATTAGTTATCTGTGCATGTTAATGTAAATAACTTTATATATGTTATTATTTGGCAATGATTACTAACCGTTGAGTTAGAGTTAGTAACTGCAGTGTTGATGAAATGATGGAAGGAATTGCAGGATAGAAATCAGAAGACCTGGGGTCATATCCTTCCAGCTGTAAGAATTTGGGCCCAAATGCTCCTTGACCACAATGTCCTCATCTGTGAAAAGCGAAGCCCTCAGGCCCTCAATCGTGCCTCAGGTAATATATGTTATAAAACCCTGAGGAGGACACATGGTAACCTAGTTGAAAACATATGGGAAATGCATTAAATGCATGTTCCTAATGCCTGCTCATGGAAGCCATTGCCTGCCAGCCCACCCACAGCTCTCTGGAAGCTCTCAGCAGTTTCTGGGATCCCCCGAGACACTTTATAAGTAAGGTTACTTCCAGCTCTAAGAAACAGGAATCTATGCGCAAACCGGCCTACAGTATAAACACGTTTACTATTGCTCATTAAAGGGAGTCCAGCTGTGGTAGCTGGAAGAACAGTGAGGTCTGCAGAAAATAGGGATCAGGCAGGGCCTGGACATTGTTGGGAAATAAATATGTAATCAAGATGATCTGCCTTGTCTCTAGGAGCTCTCTAATGTTTAAAAGTACCCACAAGTCACGCCCAGAATTCAGGTGCAACTTATGAGCATGAGGACGATAAATTGAACAAAATTCTCGAGGGTGATACTTCTCAATCCTGTCAAGAGGTGAGAATTCTCTGGGGAAGTTTTTTTTTTTTTTTTAAGAGACAGAGTCTTACACTGTCACCCTCTATAGAGTGATGTGGCATCACAGCTCACAGCAACCTCCAACTCTTGGGCTTAGGTGATTCTCTTGCCTCAGCCTCCCGAGTAGCTGGGACTACAGGCTCCTGCCACAACGCCCAGCTATCTTTTGTTGCAGTTTGGCCAGAGCTGGGTTCAAACCCTCCACCCTCAGTAAACAGGGCTGGCGCCCTACTCACTGAGCCACAGGTACCACCCTCTCTGGGGAAGTTTTAAGGGACACCGTCATCTAAGCCCTGCTCAGATGCTTCTGATCCTATTTGTCCAGACACTGGTGGTTTGCAAAATTCCCGGGTAATTCTTACATGCTGACAATGTTGAAAACAATTGCTCCAAAATATCATAAATCAGAGAGATCACTCTAAACCAGGAACGCCGGGCAATTACTTAGGGAGAGACATGGTGGGAGAATATGGTGCTAAGTACAAAACTGAGACTCACATAGCTGTTCAGCTCACAGCCTCTTTCTCTTGCCTCAGTAAACTTTATCATCAGAACAAATTGCATCCCCTAAAACACACACACAGTTGCCCTATTTCCATGTGTCTCTTTCTCCTTCTAGGCTCTGCAATCTTTGGAGAAGAGGCTCTCAAACATGGATGTGAGTAAGAATCATCTGGGAAACTTTTTAAAATATAGATACTTGGGCATCCCCCGTGAGGTTATAATTTAGTAGATCTGAGATGGAGCCAGTGAGTCTACATTCTAGCAAGCTTCGCAGGGAGCTTCAGACATAATTGGTCTACAATCACAATTTTGAGAAACTAAGGCAACTCTGATGTGAAACAGAAAATACTATGTGCTTAAAAGATGCCCAAAGGTTTCAAAAGATTTGAGTAACCAGATCACTAAAGAATACATCATGGGTAACAGACCTAGAAAAAGATGTTCAAAATGATTACTCATTAGGGAAATGAAAACCAAAGCTACATTGAAATATCAATACACAGCTCTTAGAATAGCTAAAATTAAAATAAGAAACAGCTGTTTTCTGGCCAGGATACATGATGGTGCCACCACTTTGGAAATAAGTTGGGCAATTTTTTTTTTTTTT